GTTGTCGCCTCTGGGATGAGGAAGGCTGGGTGGGGCAGGTTGCGGGGAGGGCTGGGGAAGTCAGCACTGGACATGTCTCACATGAGACGTCTATCACATGTCCAGGTGGAGGTGACAAGTAGGAGGATGGATACACCAATCTGGAGTCCGGGAGAGGGGTCTGGGATGGAGAGAGAAACCGGGCGGTCACCGGCCTACAGCCGGAGTGAGACCGTATGAGGTCACCAAAGGGGGAAACACCGGTAAAGGGAAGAGGACCAAGGACGGAGCACTGGCAGGTTGGGAGAAGTCAAGGCATCTGCAAGGGAGGTGGAGAAGCGCCACCCAGGGAAAATCAGAAGTGCGGAGGCCTGGAAACCAAACGGAGGAAGTATTGAAGGAGGAGCAGGCGCAGCTGTCAGCACTGCTCATCACTCATGCCCGTGAGGACCGAGTTACCGCCGGACACAGCGTCATGGAGGTCACTGGTGACCTGGACCACAGGCACCCGCTTGCCAGGGTAGTGGGCACAAAGCCCCGACTGCAGGGGCTCCCAGAGGAAATGGGAGGAGAGGAACCGGAAACCACCATCATAGGCCATTCCTCCGAGGAGTCGTGGTGCGAAGGGGAGTAGAAAATGGGGCCCCAGCTGGCAGAGAAAGTGAGAGCAAGAGAGGTTTTTCTAAGACGGGAGAGATTAACAGGGTGTGTCCAGATAAACGAGATACACACACACACGGCTGCTCGCACACACGCCGGTGTTAGCACTTAAAGCGCTCGGTTTTCACGTCTGTCTCCCTCAGTACGCCGTGAGCTTCTTGAGAGCAGGGACCTTGCTTTATTCAGCTTCACACGCCCGCAGGCTAACCGAGTGTGTCAGTTCTCAATTGCTGCTGTAACAAACGACCACAATTCAGTGGCCTAAAGCAGCGTGGCTCTACAAGTCAGAAGTCTGACAGAGGTCTCACCGGGCTCAAATCAAGGTGTCAGCAGAGTGTTTCTCTGCTTTTTCCAGCTTCTAGGGGCTGCCCGCCTTCCTTGGCTCGTGGCCCCTTCCTCCGTCTTCAAGGC